CACGACGTCGGCGACGGGTGGCGGGAGGAGATGTGGGTGCTGACGACGAGTCTGCGGGGATTGGAATGCTTGAAGACGGAGTCGGCTCCTCCACAGGCACGTAGAGCTTCTGGCCATTCTTCTCTGCATGGTGCGTTAGTATGAAAGCGGAAAGAAAGTTTCCATTGTCGTGAGCTCGTGTTGTGGCAGTTGACTTACCTAAATTCAGAAGACTGAGCCTTTTGGATAAACGTTCGTTGTCTTGGGACTCAGCTTTTCGTTTGCGCCTTAGCTGCCTCGCCTGCGGATGCTGGTGCTGGTGCTGGTGCTGATCCGCCTCCAGGGCGTGGGAGGGAGATTGGGTCCCGTGCAGTAGCATATTTCGGCGACTTTTGCTGGAACTTTCCCTCTTTCCTCTCTGCCTTTTGTCCAACCGCTTCTTCTGGTGTACCACCCCTATTAGCACTACCAGCTCCCGGGTTCGCAGAGCTGCTGACCGACGACAACGACGATATTATTCGGAAACAAGTGCGATGACCAATTGTTCAAAGTCCCGAAGCGGCCACTAGAATCGCAGTAAAGAGAGACACGACAGGCGCAGCTGAGCAGCGGGCGTAACAGAGGTGCTGCCAATCGGGTCCGAGGTTCTCTCAAAAGTGAGCTTTGAGAGAGAAAAGAGAGAGAGAGAGAGAGAGAGAGAGAGGTACGGTACGGTACGGTACGGTGCGGCTGATATCGAATCGCCGTTTCCGGAAGGGTAGGGAATATCCCGTCGTGAAGTGAAGAACGCGGGCCCAAAGTCAATCCAAAGTCTCGAATGTCCTTGGTGAGCTAAGGTCTTTGGACGGCGAGAAGCGGAGAACAACTTTTGCCAGTGTTGGTTGTCTTTTACGTTTGGTTGGTAAGAGAAGAGAGAGAGAGAGTTGCGGCTTGAATCAGCAAAAAGAAGGGGAAAAGAAGAGGAAAGGAGGAGATCCGTGGACGGTCTTAGTACCGGTAGAGCTCGCTGGCTTGCTGCTCTCTCCTGCGCAGATCCAATTCGTCGATATATATTCTAAGGGGTGAGGGGGAACTTGGAAGGAAGCGGAGAGGAAGGATGACCTTCGCTACTGCTAATGCTGCTGTGCTCGTACGAGGGGCGCGGGCGCAAGCGCGTTCTTCTCTGGCTTTCAGCTGTGGCGGACGAAGTAGCCTTGAGCATCGGCTGCGACTGCCGGGGAGCTCTGGCGCTTTTGTACTGGCTTTGACTCATTCTTGTAGAAGTTTCCACGACAGGAGCACCACCGGACCACCAGCTCCAGCTCCAGCTCCAGCAACAGCAACAGCAACAGCACCGGACCTGGACCGCCACCACCACCACCACCCCTCGCCGCACCCGCATCTGCATCTGCACCACCACCCGCAACCAGGCCCGCCGCCGCTATCGCCCCAGCTATCTCTACCTCTGCCTCTGCCACTGGCACGGACGCCGCTGCCCCTCCTACCCCGAAGCAATGCAGCTGCCGCGCTAGCAAGCAGCTCATCCCGCCAAAAGAGTCACAGCTGTGCCGACCCTGATAAAACATCATCCCTCCCCTCATCACCATCAACAATCACTTTTTCCAAGAGGACTCGAGCGTCGGTTGGATCCACGACAGATACCCACTCACCGTCTGGACTCATCGCATCGAGTGCTACTTTTCCCTACAGGCGCTTTCACTCTACTTCGACATTGCCCACCGCTGTCATGGCTGAGCCAAAGTGGCCCGGCGCCATTGTGCGCAAGACTTTCCTCGAGTTCTTCGAGAAGAGGGGCCACACGATCGGTATGTTGTCACCGACTTTCCACTTTCCCCCAGCAACACGGCGTGATAGAGGAGATTGCCTCTGCTATTCTTCATCTAGACATTGCGCTTCTAACTTTTGCTTCAAATGTGCCAATTGGCTAACCATCTCTGCTTTATCTCAGTGCCGTCTTCCTCCGTCGTCCCTCACAATGACCCCACCTTGCTCTTCACCAATGCGGGCATGAACCAATTTAAGCCCATCTTCCTCGGAACGATCTCAAAGTCGGATCCCATGTACCCTCTCAAGCGTGCGACCGACTCCCAGAAGTGCATTCGCGCTGGTGGCAAGCACAACGATCTCGACGATGTCGGCAAGGACAGCTACCACCACACATTCTTCGAGATGCTGGGCAACTGGTCCTTTGGAGATTACTTCAAGAAGGAGGCCATTGAGATGTCATGGGAGCTCTTGACCAAGGTCTATGGTCTGGACCCTGCCCGCCTGTACGTCTCCTACTTTGAGGGTAACCCTGAGATGGGTCTCGAGCCCGATCTAGAGGCCAAGAGCTTGTGGCAATCCGTTGGTGTCCCCGACGACCACATCTTGCCTGGCAACATGAAGGACAACTTCTGGGAGATGGGTGACCAAGGCCCTTGCGGTCCTTGCAGTGAGGTTCACTACGACAAGGTCGGCGGCGGTCGCAACGCCGCTCACTTGGTGAACGAGGATGACCCGATGGTCGTGGAGATTTGGAACAACGTTTTCATCCAATACGATCGCCAGGCTGATAAGTCACTTAAGTCTCTCCCCGCCAAGCACGTCGATACTGGCATGGGTTTCGAGCGTCTCGTCTCTGCGCTCCAGGATACTGTTTCCAACTACGCCACCGATATCTTCACGCCCCTCTTCAAGAGAATCGAGGAAGTTACTGGCGCCAGGCCCTACACTGATAAGTATGGAGCCGATGACGCCGACGGAATCGACACTGCCTACCGTGTCATTGCCGACCACATCCGTCTTTTGACCTTCTCCATGTCCGATGGCGCTGTCCCCAACAATGACGGCCGCGGATATGTCCTCCGCAGAGTGCTCCGCCGCGGTGTTCGCTACGCGCGCAAGTACTTCAACGCCGAGATTGGATCCTTCTTCTCCAAGATTCTCCCTGCTCTTGTCGACCAAATGGGTGAACAGTTCCCCGAGATTGTCAAGAAGCAGCAGGACATCATTGAGATTCTTGACGAGGAAGAAGCGGCCTTTGCCCGTACACTTGACCGTGGCGAGGCTCAATTCGAGAAGTTCGCCAACGCTGCCATCAAGAAGGGCGAGAAGAAGCTCACTGGTGCCGAGGTTTGGAGACTTTACGACACCTTCGGATTCCCCGTCGATCTCACAAAGCTGATGGCTGAGGAGCGCAAGCTCGATATCGACGATGAGGAGGTCAAGGTTGCCCAGGAGAAGGCCCGCGAGGCTAGCAAGGTCGTCAAGAACGCTGCCCAGACTTTTGCGAAGCTGAATGTCCACCAAATCGCTGAGCTTGAGCAGCAGCTCAACATTGCGAGAACGGACGATGAGGCTAAGTTCGTCAAGGGTGACTCAAAGGCCAAGGTGCAGCTGATCTACGACGGCAAGGGTTTCATCAAGTCAACTGAGGGTATTGCCGAGAACACTCCCTTGGGTCTGTTGCTGGACAAGACCAACTTCTATGCTGAGTCTGGTGGTCAGGTCGCCGATTCTGGTCGCATCGTCATTGATGGTGTCGCCGAGTTTAAGGTTCTCGATGTTCAGAACTTTGGTGGCTACATTGTTCACAGTGGTTATCTTGAGGACGGCAACTTGTCCTCTGGCAACGAAGTCATCTGCGAGTACGATGAGCTGAGAAGATCGCCCATCCGCAACAACCACACTGGCACCCACATCCTCAACCACTCACTCCGGGAAGTTCTCGGCGACGACATCAACCAGAAGGGCTCTCTGGTCGACAACGAGAAGCTGCGTTTCGACTTCTCTCACAAGACGGGTGTGACTATTCCCGAGCTCAAGAAGATTGAGGACTTCTCTAACGCCTACATCCGCCAAAATGGCAAGATTTACTCAAAGGAGGTAGACCTCGATCTTGCCAAGGGAATTGAGGGTGTTCGTGCCGTCTTTGGCGAGACATACCCCAACCCTGTTCGTGTTGTGTCTGTCGGCGTTGATGTTGACACCCTCCTCGCAAACCCCAAGAACGCAGAGTGGCGCAAGGTCAGCGTGGAGTTCTGCGGAGGTACTCACGTTGAGCAGACCGGCCTCATCAAGGACCTTGTCATCGTTGAGGAAAGCGGTATTGCCAAGGGTATCCGTCGCATCATCGCCTACACTGGCGATGCTGCTCACCAGGTGCAACGCGAGGCTGCCGAGTTCTCTAAGCGTCTCGATGCACTTGAGGCACTTGCCTTTGGCCCCGAGAAGGAGCAGGAGATCAAGTCGACCCAGCATGCTCTCAACCAATTGACCATCTCGACTCTCACCAAGGAGGACATCAAGAAGCGCTTCGACAAGATTGTCAAGTCCGTCACCGATGAGCAGAAGAAGCGCCAAAAGGCCGAGTCCAAGACTGCGCTCGACACCGTTGCTGCGCATTTCGAGAAGAACAAGGACTCCAAGTGGTTTGTGGGTCAGCTCCCGATCTCCGCCAACGCCAAGGCTATTGGCGAAGTTGTCAAGCACTTCCAGTCCAAGGACAAGGAGCGCTCTGTCTACCTGTTTGGTGGAAGCAAGAACGAGGGTGCCGTTGCCCACGGCGTTTACGTTGGCACTGTAAGTTGACCTCCTCGTACGAGTACGGAAGTACAAGCTAACATGCAATGCAGCACCTGTCCTCACAAGGCGTTACTGCCGAGCAGTGGGCTTCTCAGGTCAGTGGAGTCATCGGAGGCAAGTCTGGCGGCAAGGAGCCTACCCGCCAAGGACAGGGTACCAACGCCGAGAAGTTGGACGAGGCTGTCGCCGAGGCAGAGAAGTGGCTGAAGGAGAAGCTCAACATTTGAGCGACAGAGATATCCCGCTGATGTGCTGCAACATGTCTGGCAACCAATTTACTTTTCACGGGGTCTAGATGTATGGGAGCATGGGCGAAAACAGGATATGCTGCGATTTCGAGCATGTCCAAAGTAGGAAAAGGAGTTGATCACTGGCATGATGGGCCTGTAGTTCCTCTCGATGTATTCCAACAAGATTAAGGAAGACAACCTGAACAAAGTTAAGAAACAGCAGAATTACGTGCTGCCTGTGTTGCGGAACTTTCCGTAGTCTAAAAGGGGTATATGTTCTTCTTCTTTTCTACATTTGTTTATACAGTTACCAGCACACTTGCGTTCTGGTAGTAGCTCAGCAGAGGGTTTTCCCCGCTGCGCGTTTGGGTGTCTTCGAGGAACGCCCACCGCTGCATAAAGTCACCATGCGACATGAGCCTCGTAAGCTTGCCCGTGATGGCCTGGTACATGGCCTCCATGGTTTGGAAGTCTGTGGGGAACATGATGTCAAAGTAGCCTTGGTGGACCTGTTGCGACCTTTATGTTAGCAACGGCATCCATCATGTGCGTTGTGGTTGTTGAACGTACCAAAGGCGTCGTCACGGGCACCGTCGTACGCTCGTATCGGGTCTGGACGACGGGGGCGTTGAGGCCCGGTATGGCGTCGGGCAGCGAGTGGAAGTCGCTCGTGACGAGGCGGTGGCCGGGGAAGTACTTTTCGAGCACGTCGAAGAACTGCATGAGGCGGGTTGGGATGTACTCGGGCTCCGAGAGGTTCGGCATGAGCGGCATGCGTGACTTGAGGTGGCGGAGGACGCGGTTGGCCGGGTAGGGGAGGGGGTAGCGGCCACCCGTGGCGGCGTGGCGGACGCGGAGGAAGCGGGCGAGGACGGGGTCGAGGTCGGGTGAGTAGAACTCGTAGAGGTCGTTGTCCGCGTCGACGAGGACGGAGCCCTGGAGGGGTTCTTCCGTGGCGAGGTCGTAGCGGACGACGTCGTGGGAGAAGTTGTCAAAGACCTCCATGGCGAGGAAGAAGCAGGGTGAGGGGACGCGTTCGGACCAGGAGAAGATGGACTGGTTGATGATTTCGACCTTGGAGGCGTGGCCGCGGGAGTCGGCGGTGGAGAGGAGGTGGTGGCGCTGGAGGGAGGCGAGGGCGGGTGAGATCTCGATGATGCGGTACTGGGTGCGGGCGTAGACCTGGGGGTCGAGGTCGCGGATGTAGTCGAGGATGTTGAGCATGAGGGTGCCGCGGCCGGCGCCCATCTCGTAGATGATGAGGTCGTGGTAGGGGTACGTCGTGAGGCGGTAGTTTGAGACGAGGTAGCGGGCAATGGCCTCGCCGTAGTAGGGGCGGAATAGCTCCGTGGGCGTGTGCCAGAGCGGGCGGGCGTCGTTGACGCCCTCTTTGTCGTCGAGGTCGTCCTCGAACTCGGTGTAGCGCCGGCCGAGCTCGCGGTAAAAGTGCGGCTCGTCGCGGAAGGAGGGGAAGTCGAAGGGCTGGCCGGGGGAGAAGATGACGGCCTGGGTGGAGAAGTAGCCGTAGGCCGGGTTGTAGAGGCTGTCCTCGATGAAGTCGCGGGTGAGCATCTTGGCCTTGCGCGGGCGGGTCGAGCGGGCGGCCAGGTCGCGGGCGTTGAGGGTCGGGTAGGTGTCGAACTCGTCGGCGCGGTCGCTCGGGAAGAGGGAGGTCCGCTGCTGCCATTTTGACTCGTTTGTCCTTTCCTGTCTCTCGGATGTGGTCTTGACGGCGTAGTGTCGCCGTTGCTGAGGTACTGCAGAGGCATTGGCCGCTCTTGAGGAGGAGGTGGATGATGCTGGAGCTGCTACGCCGCCGCTGTGGTTATGTTGGACATGAGGCCGGTGGTGGTGATGGCTTAGAGCCGGGATGCCGGCGGCAGTCGTGCATTGTCGCCGTGATTGGCACGCGGGCCGGCGGAAGAGCTCGCGGAAGAGACGGGTGACGGCGGGGGAATCCATCCCGAGAGTAGTTTGCGATGGTCGAGCGGGACGAACACTCGGCAGGGCGAAATGGGGGTCGGTTTGGGAAAGTCAACAAAATGGTTGCAAATCGCGGATCTTCGGTTTGGCAGAGAGGTTCGAACATGGCCCGAGCTCCCTTCTACCACGGGGCAGCTGTTAATCCGCCATAGCGCACATGCCCGTTCCCGTTCAGCTCCACCGCCGTGGTCCCCTGCCAAGGGATGCCCCGGCGGAAGTCTTAACGCCTGAGGAACCTGGAGGCAGAGCGCCGTGGACGAGGATGGGCACAGAGGCACCGTTGAGGCTGAAAGGCAGGGGTCTGGAAGAGATAAAATGACATCACCTGCAGTTTAGCGGGCAAATCCCCTGTAGAATAAGATGGTTGAAATTCATGCGCTGAGCACCTATCAGTATTTTTGTTTTCCGATACCGCAACCAAACCTCGTCAAGAGATTCACGACGACAACAATAAGAGCTCGCGGGAAAAGCAACGCGGACGATGGAGCACGACACATGACACAGACAACATGTCTCTAAGTAATCATCCCAAAGCCTATGGTTCGGCGGCCCTAGCGCTTGCCTTCACGGCCGGCATCCTCGTCACCTTGGGCTTCAAAGACTTTTATCCGGACCTCGAACGCCGGTACCAGCGCCGTCGCAACCGCCGCGCGCGCAACAACACCTCCACCGCGGACCCCTCGCGGCGTAGCAGCCTCTTCTGGGGCCCGCCCGTGCAACTCGAAGACCACGAGACTGCATCCGAAGCCGATGAAGCGGCGGCCGCCGCTCTCCTCACTACCCTCGGCGGTTCCGCCTGGAACCCGCCATTGATCGCGGACGGCGTGGCGGGCGCCATCGGCAACACGCCGCTCATCAAGATCCGTTCGCTCAGCGAGGCCACAGGGCGCGTCATCCTCGCAAAAGCAGAGTTCCTGAACGCTGCCGGCAACACGCCCAAGGACCGCGTCGCGCTGTCCATGATCGAGGGCGCCGAGGCCGCGGGCCAGCTCGTCCCCGGCCGCGGCGACACCATCTACGAGGGCACCGTCGGCAGCACGGGCATCTCCCTGGCGACGCTCGCCCGCGCGAGGGGTTACCGCGCGCACATTTGCATGCCCAACGACATGGCCATGGAAAAGGTCGACCTACTCCGTCACCTGGGCGCCACCGTCGAGCGCGTGGACCCGGCGCCGATCGCATCGCCGGAGCACTTTGTCAACCTCGCCCGCCGCCGCGCGCTAGAGCACGCCGCCAAGGCCGGCGACGGCAGCGTCGGCTACTTTGCGGACCAGTTTGAGAACCCGGCCAACTTTGCGGCGCACCTCCACACCACGGGCCCGGAGATCGTGTACCAGACCGGCGGGAAGCTGGACGCCTTTGTCGCCGGCGCGGGGACGGGCGGTACCATCGCGGGCGTGGCCAAGTACCTCAAGGAGGAGGCCAACGTGCCGGGCCTGCAGGTCGTGCTGGCGGACCCCCAGGGCAGCGGGCTGTACAACAAGATCCGGCACGGCGTCATGTACTCGAGCACCGAGAAGGAGGGCACGCGGCGGCGGACGCAGGTCGACACCATCGTAGAGGGCATCGGCATCAACCGCGTCACGGAGAACTTTGAGGCCGGCAGGGAGCTCATTGACGACGCGATCAAGGTCACGGACGAGCAGGCGTGCCGCATGGCGAGGTGGCTGGTGGAGAACGACGGCATTTTCGCCGGCAGCAGCAGCGCGGTCAACTGCGTTGCGGCGGTCGTGGCGGCCTCGAGGCTTCCCGAGGGGAGCCAGGTCGTCACTATTTTGTGCGACTCTGGCACGAGGCATCTCAGCAAGTTCTGGAAGCATGTGGCGGCGATGGGCCTGGAGGAGGACGATCACTCAGCTGATCTGTTCTCAGTGCTCAAGATCGACCCGGCGAAGAAGTAATGATACAGACTACTAATAGATCACTTCTCTCTCCATACTGCTTTACTATTCCCCGCACGGGTCCCCAATGGCTGCAGATCTTCCACCATGCATACGAGATGAACACTCAGTTGTTGCAATGCCCACTGCAGAAAGTCTTCTTCTGAACCCACCCCGCCCGCCCCCCCCCACACACCCTACCCACTCGCCACTACAACACTTTTCTCCCACCCCCAGCCTACTCCCACCACGCCGGCCGCCACCCCACCTACCAACACCACAAACACATACCGTCGAACCACACAACACACAAAACATGTTCTCCCCCCCCCCCCCCCCCCCCCCCCCCCGTGTATCCCTCAGCAGCGGCGACAAGGGAATATTGCATGGGAAAGCACACAATGTGGCGCCACGATGTCATGAGATAGAGTGTGCTCCAAGTGAATGCGGTAAGGAGCCGGGGCGATGTAATAAGGTAGTGAGCCAATGCCAATTAGGCACTTTGCAAGATCTCGATTGCTCCCGAGCCTCAACTCAATACAGGCTACATGGCTATGGACTCATCAAGCCCCCCATCTAAAGTGTAATTCGCTCTCTGTGAAACCGATCATCGATAGCCACACATGCATCTGATGCCCGAAGCTTTTTATGTTCAAGGGCAGAGCAAAAAGAATCAATAAAGGAGAAAATACGGAGGACCATTCCTCTTCCCCAACTCCATACCAACCAAGCCCGCACTCCCGAGTGCCAAATGCAGGACCATAATCCCGTGCTTCAATAACGGGGTATAAGTGAAAATCACGCCGTCAGTTGAAAAAATCGAAACCTCCTCTCCAGAATCGTACGCTCAAGAGAACTGAAGCTTAGTTAGCATAGTTGGTAGAGAGAATGAAACAATGGCCAACAAACCTTCCAGCGGTTACCGCATACGGTACACTCGCAGAATGTCGTCATCGGTTCATCAGCACTGCGAGTCTGCGCCTGGCTGTAGCTGACTTTCTTCTGGCCACACTTGCCGCACTTGAGAGCATCGCTGATACTCTTCTCGGCCATGGGAACCTGGGCCTTCTTCATGTTCTCCTGCTGCAGAGCATCCTCCTTCTTCCTCTGCTCTTCCGACTTGAGCTCTTCGTGGGTCATGACCACGAACCGAGCAGGAGTGATCTTGCCTTCCATGACATTGACACCAAGCTGGCGGTTGCTCCTGACCTTAAGGTTGCTGAACAGGGAGCGCAGCTTCTCACGGTACTCCTTGGTGACACCCTTGAAATGGCTGTGGGCAGCCAACTCAACCTCGATGGCCTTGTTAAGAACATCGTTGACGGAAGCGGTGGATCGGTATGCGAGGCCATTGTAGAGGAGTTCGATGCAGGAATCGCGAACAGCATCATTAGTGCGCTTCACGTCGGCGCCATCGGCCTTAGCGCGGCGAGTCTCGGTGTTGCCCTTGAAGGGTTGGTTCAGCGCAGATGACGAAGACGGTTTCGGGGCCGGGGCCTGGGTCGGCGACGGAGCAGCCGGAGACGATCCCTTCTTGATCTTGCCCTGCTTCTCGGCTTCGACCAGCTTCTTCCACTTATGGACGAGCTCGGTAGCGGCGCGAGCAATTTCCTTGTTCGAGTTCTGGCGAAGCTTGCCGACGAAGACACCTGCTCTGCTAGACTGGTCGAGTACAAACGAGGTCAGCTACGATTCGTCTTAATAGCAAACAAGGTGAGCAGGAACATATGCCAAGACCACGTATGTCGATGGAACAGTGCAATCCGCGACGTACCCGAAGCATCTCTTCCGTGGGGGCAGCCTCCTTCTTGAGTCGTTCAAGGAGAGCAAGAGCGGTTGCAGGAGGCTCGTTGGCCTGTACAACCTTATTGAGCTGCTTGATGCAGGACTCAAGCTCGCGTTGATCCATGCCAGTCGACATCGTGGGCAATTTGTGCGCAAGTGAATTGCGATGAGTGATTTTCCGGCGCGCGCAACGCGATTCTCGATTTGTAGATGTTAAGGAGTTGTACGGGCGTTGAAAGAAGGCGAGGCTAGGTAGAGGTGATGGCCATTTTCCTCAAGTGGGTGGTGGAATCGCGCCGGAGCCAAGTGGGGCAAAGCCTTAGTATCCACCTCACTGTCGTGTGTGCAGCCCGGTCCCGTCCCTTCCACCCGTCATAAGGTACCTTCCCCCGGATCAGCGGTATTATGTTTCACCGGGATCCGTTCTGGCAAGAGAGGCGTGGGGTGTTACCGTGCTGCACCCCTTCCCGCACGTCTTATCGTTGGACGTCCATGTGACGACAAGGGGAAGCGAAGCTTATCAAATGTCGAGTCACGCTGCCACATGGTCCCTGCTGCTGCCATTTCAGCGGATTCAGCGGAGAAGCTACCCACCTGAAGCTGTCCCCCACGACAGCTGCTGCGCATGCAAGGGGCAGATGCTGGAGCCTATGACGCCAGATGTTGATGTGTTTAGGACGTCTGTAAACCTTCTCTAAACATCAACAAGCCTTGATCGTCCTTTGTCTCTGCCTATTCTTGGCCACCAACCGTTGCACCCGTTTCTGTTACTAGCTCCCGTCGAATGAGTCACTAGTACGGACATAATATCCGGAATCATAAACATTGTGCCTTATATCAAGGCAGCTACGACCTCCCGACCCTTGCGGTCAACTTCGCCACTCTACGCGCTCGGCGCGTCGCGAGATCAACTATACTCCAAAATCCAATAGTAAATAATTGACTTGCCCATGGATGGAACACCATCTCTTGGCACGACACAGTACTCTTGCTCGTCTGGTTGAGGCTCAGAAAACGACCTTCTCAGCCACAGCCTCGAGGCTTCACCAATATCATTAGGCACGATGCCTGCACATCGTCAACAAGACCTACCCGTCGAGAGTTCTTGGCGCTTGGTGGAAGGCGGCGAGAATGACAGCTTCGATACGTCCATTCTTAACGATATGGAGGAGGATGATAGCTTCCTGACGGAGCCGTCGCAAATGCCGTCACAGTCATTCAGCATCGGCGGCTCTCAAGAGTCGCACCACAGCGTTCAAGATTTCATGAACAAAGCAGACGATGAGCGAGTCATCCTTCGCTCGCCATTTCAAC